CGGTGGGGACGAAGCCTCCATGGGGAAAAGAGGAATAGGAAGGATCCAAAAAAGGTGGTATAGGAATCTCAGCCCCTAGAGGACACTCCATTAGGCAATGATGCAAAGCAGAGAAGAATTCCTGCCTTGGTAATGTGGTACCTGCCAGTAATCGACCGCTTGAGACGTATCTTCCTAAACCCTAAAGAAGTCGCACTCATGACATGGTGGGATGATGAGCGCAAGGTGGATGATGATAAGATTGCACACCCGGCTGATTGTAGTCAGTGGCAAAGGTTCGATGAGAAGCACAAAGAATTCAGCGATGACCCAAGGAATGTATGGTTTGGCTTGAGCACCGATGGAATGAATCCCTTCAATGAGAGGATGAGCGACCACAGCACTTGGTCAGTGATCTTGACCATGTACAACATCCCAACATGGTTGTGTCAGAAGAGAAAGTACCTTCTCCTCACTATTCTTATTTCTGGCCCTAAACAACTAGGCATTGATATAGATGTGTTCCTCGAGCCTTTGATGCAAGAAATGGAGAGGCTATGGAGGCATGGGGAGCCGATGTACGATGCGTTCCCGAAAGGAGGACTTCATATGTAGAGAAATAATATTTGTCACTACCAATGATTACCCCGCGTTGTTTACTTTGTCTGGACAGATCAAAGGGAAGACGGGATGCTTGGTTTGCTTGGATGGTACTACATGGGTGTACCTAGATGCATCCAAGAAGATAGTTTACCTAAGGAACCGCCGCTTCTTAAAGACAAGTCACAAGTACCGCAGCAAATTATTCTTTACATTTTATGACAACACCCCGGAGATTGAACCCCCTCCGGAGAGATGTCAAAACGGAGAACACATGTATAGAATGGTGAAAAACATACGCGTAGTCTATGGAAAGAAGAATCCGGATGGGACGAACAGAGATAGAAGCACACCTCATATCGAAGGTGTACCTTTCAAGAAACAGTCGATCTTCTTTCAGTATCTGCCTTATTGGCCAGACTTAGAGGTCCCCCATGCCATTGATGCTATGCACGTGCACAAGAATGTCTTTGAGAGTCTCACTGCTACCTTGATGGACACAGGCAAGTCAAAGAATGGTCTGAAAGCACGAAAAGACATGGTGCTGCTAAACATGATGCCACAGCTTCACCCAGTACCTGAGGCTAATGGAAAATACACTCTACCCATGGTGTGCTTCAACCTAACACCAGACGAGAAGAGAGATATATGCACTCTCCTGAGGGCGGTCAAAGTCCTGACTTGGTTTTAGCAAATGTGAAGAAGCTAGTGTCGATGAAGGACTTGTCAATAACACACTGCAAGGCTCATGATTGTCATGTGATGCTAACAGTGTTTCTACCTAGTGCAATCAGGGCTATAAAGCTAGAGTTCTTAAAAATGGCCATCACCCGCATGTGCTACTTCTTTTTCAAGATCTCACAGAAGACGATTGGCAACCAAGAGTTGAGTGACCTACATGAATTTGTGGTGGAGACACAAAACCAACTAGAGATGTGTTTACCTCCTGCTTTTTTATATAATGCCACATCTCATGATTCACATGGTTCATCAGATACAGGCGCTCGACCCTTGCTACTTGCATGAAATGTGGTCCTACGAGCGGTTCATGTCGATTCTAAGTCGATAGAGGGTTACAGTACTGAAGAAGTCATCGAGTGCTGTCAAGAGTACCTAAAAGTATAGAAAGGGATTGGTAAACCTGATTCTCGTCACAAGGGTAGGTTGGCTGGGAAGGGCACCAGTGGTAGAAAAGTGTTCATCGACCATGATTACAAAGAGGTGAGTCGGGCGCATTACAGTGTCTTGCAGAGTACACAACTGATGCAACCGTATATTGATGAACACTTGGCTATCATTATGGTGGAGAGAAATGGTCGTTCGGATGATTGGGTCATGAAACAGCATAAGCAACGACTAACTACATGGTTGAAGGACCAAAACATACCGCCTGGAGAAACCATAGACTCTATTACCATCAGTAGGTTGGCGGAGGGGCCATCGAGATAGGTGACATCTTGGAATGCTTATGACATCAATGGGTATACGTACTATACCAACGTAAAGGATAGTAAATATGTGAACCAAAATAGTGGCGTTCGAATAGAGGCTCTCGATGGATTGGGGCAAAAGATCCAATACTTTGGTATCATTGAAAAGATATGGGAACTTGACTATGGAAGGGATATAACGGTGGCCCTATTTTGATGCCGTTGGATCAAACAACACCAACTGAACGAGATCGGATTGAGAGTCCTAGACCTCGAGAATCTAGGCTACCAAGATGACCCTTGGGTGCTCGCTTCACGTGTCGCATAAGTTTTCTATATGTCTGACCCACAAAGTAACCTCCCCCCGAAGAAGAAGACAAAGCATGTGGTTGCCTCCAGGAAACAGTACATTATCGGAGTTGATGGCGTGGACGATGTTGAAGCTTACAATAACTACGATGAGATGCCGCTATTCACAGACTTTCCTAAGAAGATCAGTGTTGTGGAAAAGAACCTACCCAAAGACATATTTCCATGGGAACGAAAAGGTGTCAAGGGGAAAGTCGTTACAGCGGGCTAACTAGTTGTTGAACATGGAGTGTTTGTGTAAGTGTGTGTTTATAAGACTTCATTTATGCATGCGTGTGAGACTATATATTTATGTATGTGTGTAAGACTATATATTTATATATGTGTGTTAGACTTCATTTTATGCATGTGGGTGAGATTATCCTTTGTAACATCTAGATGAATCTATTTCAACATCCACTCTATTACTACTAGACCTTTATGAAATCACTTAAGACTTTATGAAGTGAAGAAATAGCCAAAATAAAAGTAGGATATAGTGATATATTCAACAACTTTTATAGTCATCACCGTTATAGCTGAAATCATTTAGTGGTTGACAATCAGGTTTAAAGCTGTTATTTTCTGAAATTCAAAATTTGAACTATTCAAATTTTGTCAAATAAAAAGATGACCAAAATAAAAGTTGTAGATAATGATGTGTTCAACAACTTTTATATTCATCCCCTTTACAGCTGAAATCATTTAGTCGCTAAAAATCAGGTTTGAAGCTGTCATTTTCTGAAATTTAAAATTTGAATTGTGCAAAATTAGTGACAAAAATAGATGACTAAACTAAAATGATAGAGCATAATTTTAGAAAATTTTAGGAAAAAAACCCATCACATTTGGAGTTAGTATGAGGAAGAAAAACTTATTACAAGTTTTAGCCACATATTAAAAAGAGAAATCACACTTGTTCATCATTGATCATCATGAACAGTTGTGATTTTTCTTTTTAATCTCTGGGTAAAATTTGTAACTAGTCTTTCTCCCTCATACTAGCTCCAAATGTGATGATTTTTTTTCCTAAATTTTTCTAAAATCATGCCCTATCAAGTTACTATGTTGATTTGGTCATTCTTTTCATTTGACAAAGATTGAGCAATTTAAATTTTCAAATTTAAAAAAATGATAAGTTCTAACGAGATTTTCAACCATTAAATGATTTCAGCTGAAAAAGTGATGAATACCAAAGTTGTATAACTCATCAAGATCTACAGCTTTTATTTTGGTCATTTTTTCATCTGACAATGTGATAGTAAACATTGTTCACAAATCAACATGTGTCTCGTATAGTTCATGAAACTATGAGTCATATGTGAATTTGTGTACAATGTTTAGTAATACTTTGGCACATGAAAAAGTGACCAAAATAAAAGTTGTACATAGTGATGAGTTCAACAACTTTTATGTTCACGACTTTTATTGTTGAAATCATTTAAGGTTTCAAAATATTGTTTGAAGTTGCCATTTATTAAAATTCAAAATTTCAACTGTTCAAATTTGGTCAAATGAAAAGATGATCAAAATAAAAGTTGTACATATTGATGAGTTCTACAACTTTGGTATTCATGAGTTTTTCAGCTGAAATCATTTACACTTTCAAAATATTGTTTCAAGTTGAAATTATTTGAATTTTAAATTTTGAATCGTTTAAACAAAGTCACATGACAAGATGACCAAAATAAAAGTTGTATATGTTGATGAGTTATACAACTTTTATGTTTACAATATTTTCATTTTAGGTCATTTAATGTCCTAAAATTATAGTCAAAGTTTTAAAATTTAAATTTTCAAAATTCAAATTGTAGTCACATGACAAGATTGAGTTATGTTCACAACTTTTATGACTACAATTTTTTTATATATATTTGTGCATATATAGAATAATACAAAATATTATATACATTTACTTTGTGTTTTTGTGATTTAAAAAATACATAATTAATAATTTAATAAAATAGAAATGCATTTATAGGGGCCGGATAGATCAGGAACCGCACCTAAAAATGCATTTATAGGGGCGGCTAGATGAGGAACCGCCCCTAGAAATGCATTTGTAGGGGCGACTAGTTCAGGAACCGCCCCTACAAATAGTACTGGGTATAAAATCGGGGGCACGCTCGGGTGAAAATGTATTGGCGCTCTCTACTTCCTCCCGACGCCGTCAGGCTGCCCAAGTGTAGGGCGACGAGCACGGCGGTGGCCGGCCCTCCGTGCGCTGGCAGCCACCCTTGTCCTCCTCTTCCTTCTCCTCCTCCTCCTCCTGGTCCTCCACCACTCCCCTTCCTCCTCACGACGCAAGGCAGGGGGTCGCGCCGGCACGAACGGCGGCCTAGGGTTTGGCGCGCGGTGTCCTCCTCGCCTCCGCGCGCTGTCCTCCTCGCCTCCTTGCCGGTCGCCGCCCTCCACCTCGGCCTGGCGCGACGTACACCTCCTCGTTGGCGGCCTGACCAGGTGGCAGGCGACGGCGCTGGCAGCGGTGGCCGAGTGGGTGTGGGCGGCCTCCTTCTACGACCTCACGCGGCGGACGCGCGCGCTCGTCCAGCCGAGGGTCACGCGCCGGGTGCACGCCAAGATTCTAAGCCTGAAGTTTCTTCGTTGTCCTACAGGTATGATATCTCTGCCTTTGCCTGCTCCTCATCTGCATCTAGTGTCAATCACTAATTCATCTTCCATCATTTTTGTTGCTGCCAGTTCCCGGTCAGTAAACTGTGATTTCCAGGGTAGTTCATGAGACAAAATGCCCTTGTGATAGATTATGCAGCATAAGGTTATTTATTTACTTAAAAACAAATTCCAAGTATAAACAAATGGGATTAATGTGCAGCGGATTTATTAAAACTTAGTGTTGTCGGTTTGAATGATGCTAGGAGTAGTTGACCATCAGTACATGTGGTCTTTGATTGGTTTGTAGCCTGACGGTTTGTTTTTCCTTTCATGTTTAATTAGCATATAAGTACATTATTGAAATGGATGGATAACAAAACGATGTAGCAGTATCAGATTCTTTAAAAATGGTTATTTAACAAGTATAGGACTCTTATCGTCCAATATAGTATTCATCTTCTATGTTTTTTGGGTACAACTTTCTAATTTATGCCATCAGATTCCTTATTTATATAGTATCCTTCTCTAGACTATGAATGCTAGTGGATACATTCATCCGATGGATATCGAAGAGGATAGAAGAGGTGTGTAGTGAGATCATCATGAACAATTTAATTTGCATTGCAAATGGTAGCCAAATTGATAATCAGAGTAGGAGGAATATAATCAATGGCAGCCTTTCAGTTAGCAGCAGGTTAGCAGTAGCGGGTTAGCAGTAGCGGGTTAGCAGGTTAGCAGCAGCAGGGACTTATCTAATCACTGTGCTGTTGATCATGGAGATACTCTCTTTTTTTAATCTATCATGGAAATACTATGTAATGTTGGGCACCCCTACAGCCCTACTGAGCTGCCCCACTGGTACCTACTTAGTATCAAATTTTGAAATGCTAATAACTTGGACTGCTGACTTTTTAACTAAATGAAACAATTAAAAGCATACCCTCGTACTATAGGTAAAAACAAGTAAAAGCATAAATTTCTTCAGCTGCTGTGGCATCCTTTGATAACTCAACCTCAATGATGGAAGCACTTTAACATCTGATGTTTCATTCCAGATATCACTGTCATTTATTTTTTTTCCACTCAGATAGATCTTTGGATTGTAACATGCCCCCAAGTGCTTGAGCTGCCAATGGCACACCTCCACATTTCTTTGCAATATCCAGCCTTATCGGCTAAAATTCCTTTTGGTTACACTTACTCGATCTCTTAATTATTTCCCAGCATGTATCATTCTTCAAAGGATGTAGCTTGTATGGTTTACTGGTGGAAACTTTCCTTGCAATTCCTTCCTCCCGTGTGGTTAATATGACATCTACCTTTTTTTCCAAAAAGAAGCATACTTTTCAGTTTCCTCAACTCAGTGTCATCTTCCTCCCATAAGTCATCTAGAACGATCGGAACTTTCTTGGTACAGAGTAGTTTATCAAGGCACTGCATTATCACCTGCAGGTCCCTATTCTGGAGATCCCTATTTTGCTGAGCTCCTTCTACTTGTAGTTGAGAAATTATAGAGTTTCCTATTTTCAATAAATTGAAATCCTGGGAGACATGAACCCATATATGAAAATGATACAGCTTCTTGAATTGGTCATCGTTGTAAACTAGTTGTGCCAAAGTACTCTTGCCCATACCTCCAAGGCCATAGATAGGAACAATCACTGTCTCACTCTCAGCATGGTTCGAACTTGCATGTAACAGTTTTATGATTTCCTGTTTTTCTCCTTCCTTCCCTTCTACTTCATGGAAAAAGTATGATGTTGTCTCAGATTTGTCATAACGCTGAACATTAATAGTGTTAGTGCCTCGTGTGGTGATGAACTTAAAAGCAGCAAATTCCGTATTGATTTTGCTCAGCTCTTTTCTCATACTCTTCGTCCTATTAGCGATGACAATCTTATTGTATGCAGTTGGTATGCACGAGAGCACCACAGGGTTCTATAAGAATTTCATTTAATTTTCAGTTGGGTGATACAATTAGGAAAGATGAATTGCATTATAAATTAGTAATTATATATGAGCAGTTTTTCATAACTTAAATTATCAAGAGTTGCCAAAAAATTACACACATCTTAAAGCAACTTAATTAGTTGTATTTCACAATTAATTTATCCATGGGTCTGATATGGTCCCAGCCCTATCATACTGTTCCTGGTCCTATACTTGGACTGCTACACTTCTGCCATTGCTCCTACTACTTGTTGGCTGCTCCTACTTTACTTTCTACTCCTATTGCTGCTCTTCTTTCAGTGATGCTCCTACTGCTACTCCTAAGTGGCTGCTGCTCTTACTCTACTACTACCACTCTACTGCTACACTTACTCTACTCTACTACTTTCTACTTACTACTACTACTTGCTACTTCTAGCTACTAACTGTTGTCTGCTGTTGCTTTTTTTGCCAAATCTCCTAGGACTCGCCCAGGACTTGTTGACCTGTCTTTTGCCATCAGCTGCTGCTCTATGTTTACTAAGCAGTTGTTGGTTTTTTTGCCAAATCTCCCCTCTCCTCTCCTCTCCTCTCCTTTGTTTTGCCGATGATGAAATTGTCAAAGTCCATACATTATAAGGAATATGAGCTGATGATCAAGAACTTGTGAGGAACTTGGCATCATTAGCAGCCACCCCTACATTACCTTCTCTCTTCTCTGTTATGATGCCTTGATGCTCAAGATCAGATGATGATTGACATGTTTCTGAGGCCTCTACTACTGCTACAACTTGTTTTTTTTATATATTGTTATTTTATAGGACTACTTTGGTTTATAGACCTTTTTGATTTCTTATACCTTTTCGCGTACCTAAGCACACTTTCTTGCATCTATTAGAACAAAGCGCGAAATAATATCGCGGACACCAGACAGTGCAGCCCAATGCCCCGAGCATGATGAGCAGCCAACCTATGAGGAGCAAGCACTAGAGGACCAGCTTACTCAGGAGCAGTTCGATAACGAGTTAGAAAATAATCTAGAAGTGATGCTTACTCAGGAGCAGTGTGATGAGAAGGAAGGGGGAGCAGAAGGAAGAGCAGGAGAGGCTGCTGAAGGCGAAGAAGAAGAGGATGATGACTCAGAAGAGGGATATGTAAGTCCCGAGGATCCTTTCCCACGTGAAGCTAGAAGGAGGCCAACGGAGGAAGATTTGGACAATGATTTTGACCCGAACGAGGAGGTAGGGAAAAAGCCTTAGCTTGTAAATTTTGTTAAAGCTTTGTCTGTGTTACCTCTGCTAACACTTTGACCTGTTGTATATACAGGTCCCTCCTGAAACTCGAAAAAGACGACGTCGACGTCCGCGACATCTCGCTGGACAAGACGGAGTAGAGGAAAGGAGAGCAGAGGCAACAGCCACAGAGATGGATCACGATGCCTCTGCTCCACAACCTCAAGAGACAACCATGACTACCAAGCCTAAGAGGAAACGAAGAGATAGAAAAGAAAATCTATATCCAGATAAGGCATGCTATGTGATAACGGAGGTCGGGCCAGCAGGGGAGATCCTTGAGCCGAAGGAATTAAGAGGACGATTCTATAATGCGATCGGGGCCCTAGTAAGAGATAAATTGAACCCAATAATCCCTAACTAGAAAGAGGTACCAGAGAACAAAAAGAATGAACTATAGGATAGGCAGCTGAAGCTCAATTTTAGATTTCCAGAGGGTAAGCACGAACTGGTAAACAAATGCTTTCAGGATGATGGGAGAGTCATTCCGACGTTGGAGATCGGAGCTCAACACGAAGTATATCCAAAAGGGGTTAACTCCCTTCAACGAGTTCGGCAAAATAACTCCTAGTCAATGGGAGGAGCTCGTGGCTCAGAAGACTTCACCAGAGGCATTGGAGCTCAGTGTCCGTAACACCGAGCTGGCGAAGAGGAACAAACATCACCATCATCTAGGCCCCTATGGCTACTATGCCAAGGAAGAGTAGTTTAGGAAGATGGACGAAGAGGGCGCAGCTACTGGGAATATCGATGTGACGAATTTGAAGGTACGCTCAAGGAATTAGATATATGCGAGGAGTACAGAATCATCTGGCAGTAATCTTAAGTTTGATAAGCCGGAGACCCAAGAGGCAGTATCAAGGATACTGAAATATGCTGAAGACAAGGAGAAGGGCTCATTCAATCCTTCTAAAGAGAGGGACGAGCTTAGCCTTGGCTTGGCAAACAAGGAGCACACAGGCCGCACTAGGGGGCTAGGGAAAAGGACGACCTGGAAGTAAGGATTCGAAGAGGACAGGCACATGTACAAGAAACATGGTAAAGACCGAGAGACTAGTCTTGAGCTCTAAGTGAAGGCTCTAGTTGCGAAGGCGCTGGAGGAGCAAGGACTGTCTACGGAGCCACGGATATTAGTGACGCCGCCGAAAGAACTGGCATTAGTTGGCAGCCCTCCGAAAGTTCCTAGCAGCCAAGGTTCCACTGCAGCCACAACCCCCATCGATCACATACGGGAACCAACTAGTTGCACCTTGGTGTTTCTCAGCGGCCGATAGAACACTATGATGGAGGTGGCAACGGGTGTGGCACATCCTCCCGGTGGCTTACACCACAATAATAAGATACTGCCTGACTACACTAGGGTCGAGGTGCATACCGTGAAGCCCGAGTTCATGCAGTGAAGGATAGACTATGCAACTTCCGAGGGGCTGGTGTTACTCAGAGACGTTATTGGGCAGTTCATCCTCTAGCACAAACGGGACATTATATTGACTGCTTCTTCACCGCCTCCCCCTCTCCCAAATTTGGAGCGAGTTGTTGAAGTCGGGGAGATATTTTCACTGTCTTGTGACCACCACATTCCTAGGATACCACATTCTTCCCCGCCTCCTAGCGAGCATGTGCCTGATGAGATGCCACAACCTTCTCTAGCTCGTACTGAGCAAGTACATGATGAGATGCTACAGTCTTCTCAACAAGCACAGCCGATACATGAACAACGAGTGCCTCCTAAAGAAGGTGATGCACAAGAAGATGAGGATGTGCCTGAATGGGAACTTTGAAAGAAGCATCCAATCACCATAAGGCCAGTTTATGTTCCGATGAAAGACGTCTCGTCGGTGTCCAAGTGGTATTCCCATGACCAATTCAAGCCTGAGAACCAAGTTAAAAAAGTCCCATCACGGGGTTCTGAGGAGGCCGTCACTAGCAAACTCCACCAAATTGCAAAACAGTATCCAAATGTTGATGCCATCAAATGGTCAAAGGATTGCCCGAAAACATATGAAAGAGGCAGGCCCTTCCTACCAAACCGGGACATCCAGCACCTACCACTTGGAATGAGAAGGTTCCATGATTGGTACTTGCGTGTTCTCCCAACGAGCATAGATCTCATACAAGCATGCTTTCCCACCGGCACATTTGGAAGCCCAGCCGAGAAAATTGTCTTTGACTTCAATGACATGCACACATGCTTTCACCTAGGAGAAATGGAGATGAATCTAATTCGCACGTGGTGCCTGTAAGTCCTTGTCCTCCCGATATGATATGAATGTAATCTTTGAATTTTGTTGTAACTAACCCACGTCGTGAATTGTAGAATGCAAGTGCATATTATCAAACAAATGCCAAGTGTGAAAGCCGGGTATCTAGACCCTCAAGCTATAGCCCAAATAAATTTTAATTACCCTAAACAGTGGACACTGGATGCCAAAGAGTTAGCTGCTACAAAGACTCTTCGGGAGAAAGAGTGCATCCATACGGTGAAACTAAGGGAAGAGTCCCTTAAGGTTACGGCATACATTGCTCTGGCTTTCAAAAGTCTCCAACAACACTCTACTATATGGCTACCATACAACTTCGAGTAAGTTCAACTCTATACTTAAAGCTTTGTTCGATATATTTTATTCGATGCAAAAGAGGTTATCTAGTTCTATGATTAAATCCATGCAGCAACCACTGGATTTGTATAGCCGTCGATGTCAGGAGGAGCATGGCATGGGTCTTTGATTCAATAGATAGGGACCCAATGACATACAAAGACTTCATATCGATTCTCAAGACGTATACATATCGACAATCCTTATTAGCTTATATGTTTGTATACATACTTGTAACGTTCACTTTTGGATACTAACAAGTTGTATTTGCTAAAATAATTCGAACATGGCATTTAGGTTATATGTCACTAATCATCACGGAAGGCATGATCCAGCAAGGAAGGAAAAGCTAGCTATAAAAATACTATGTGCGGTAAGTGTAACTTACTTCTTCATTACTCCATTACATGGCTGTCAAAAGTATTACTTAACATTTTCATATGAAAAACACACTGTGCCCTAAGCAGAAGTCTGGGAGTGTACATTGTGGATACTATATATGTTCTATGATGAGTAACACCAGTGCCTACAGGAGACACCCCTTAAAGGTAAGTTTGAACCTCTTCACCTATAGTATAAAAACTTCGTACATGGTATGAAATACTAAACCGAAACTTGTTCTCTTATAGTGGAGAGAAGAGAAAGGAATGAAAAGAGACCCATACAAGGATGACCAACTCTTAGAGCTCGTCGACGACCTTTGCAACTTCATATTGGACCAGATTTTACACGTCAAAGGCGCCTACCATGACCGAGAATCTGACTGAGGTAGAAATCTTCAGTACCAACACCTTCGTGAGACTGAAAGGCTAGCTCTAGGACGTTGATAACAATGTGTATGGAATTTGTATATTTAATGATGGATTGTATATATTCTTGTGAATTGGACTTGTAATTGTAGTTTATATAATATTATTGTGCTTTTAGTCGTGGTCAAAACGCTGGTCGCGGGGCGTTCGACAATGCGAACGCGGTTCGAAACGTTGGTCGCGGGGCGTTCGGCAACAAACAGTGTTCTGGTCGAATTTGAATTGTAAATTTAAATTTTTTT